TGGGTATCCAACCATGGGGTTGTTAGATCGGGACTTAACGATGTGGTTGTTGGCTTCACAAAATACTAAATGAGGTTGTTAGCAGAGGTGTAGCGACCCATTCCGGCGCCCGAGGAGAACTATCAATTTTGCACCCCCTCCCCCGATTAATATACTTATTCACATAGTTTCAAAGGCCCCCACCCCCTAGTTGGATAGTTATTCATATTGGCAGACCCCCCTCTCCCATCCCAGTCATTGTCCCTTTTACATTTTCTATGTTGGTCAAGAAAACAATTAAGTCCTAAAAGCTAAGTAACAGTCTATTTACATTTTTTCCTACCTCTTTCGGCGTCCCCCTTCAGGTTGGCGCCCGGGGCGGCCGCCCCACCCGCCCTCCCCTAGCTATGCCTCTGGTTGTTTTCTCGGGACCAAACCATGGGGTTGGTAGCTCAGGACCAAACCATGGGGTTGTTACCTCAGGACCTAAGAAAATGGTTGCTACCTCGGGACCTAACAATATGGTTGTTAGCTGGGGACCTAACAATGTGGTTGCTAGCTCGGGACCTAACAAAATGGTTGCTACCTCGGGACCTAATACACAATGTTACAGCTTTGTACATAAGATAGTAGATGACACCATTTCTACTGTCTCTAAAACAATATGTAGGTATAGCTGACTTGTATACCGTAAGTAAACTAAACTTGTCAGATATGTAGATTTATTTAATTGTATTACTGAACACTGTTTGTTCTCTGACATCTATAAGTATGAGACTGATTCAAGAATACAAACCCCTTTATATACAAGTTTCGTCACTCGTCAACGAGGAACAATAACTCTTCATATTTCCTATTTCGGTTTCACGCACAGGTCTAAAGTCTAGTATAGTTTAAAGTATGTGTTTACATCAGAAACTGATGAAACCACTTGAGTATGATTCATATGAAAACAATCACAATATGTAGCTTTTCATCTCTTTCAAAATTAGAGTTGTCTGAATATTTCATTACTCGTTATACATTTTTTTTCGCGGGAATTAATTCATATCTAGCTAAATTAATAAAACGTTGAATAAATACACTTGTGCTACGTAAGTTTTAATTAGTTTATTGAACAAAATGGAGCCTGGATTTGCTCTAGCTGTTTATATATTGGTGTCTTCATTGACCAACTTCAATACCAATACCACAAGTGGTGAGTTGAGTACCTTAAAGAACTAAACGAAACCATTTTAACCAGTTCAAATCACACTAGAGATTAAACGAAACAATCTATTATTGCAATCTTCTGTATGCACGTGCAACTCAAAAAACTGAATTGAATGGTTTAAGACGTAAGATTTATTTTTTAATGCTCTAGGAAGGAACCACGATAGAAGTGCTATACAGGGAGGTAATTCTATTCTAGACACCAAGAGAGGTGAGTACTTCAGCATAGTTGTCCTTTACAGTAGGCCCATAAGCTCCTAGATATCAACATTTTATTTCTTGGTCGCCACAGGCCTGATTAATTTGCTGGGAAAAATCAGATCTCTTCCCTAAATACAAGTACAAAGAAAGATGAAACAAGCACAATAAAATTGTTATAAGAATAAAACAAGTTAATAAAAAGTCTAGTGACAATTTAAGCGCAATTTCCTTAATTAATTTTTTGTGACCGAACGAAAGGATATTTTTTGAAAACTTTCTTCGGCAATATTGTTCTAAATTATGGCAGGAATCGATTGGTAAATGTTTCAAGTCGCTAAGTGGTCTGGTTGCCGAGATATGGGCCAAAAACTGCATTTTTTTGAGGGTTTTTTTTTGGCTTTTCCGGGAAATCCAGGAAGGAATTCCGGGAATTTTTTTGGCCCACAATCATCCTCGGAACTTGCTTAACATATTTGCTTTTGGAACTAGTCCTCGATATTGCTTCGTTGAGGAGGAGATACGACTTAAAGCTGCGGGGACACACATCCATCCATTGCGACACACATCCATCTATTGCGGACACATCCATCCAGAAATGACGAGTTAATAGTCGCAATTGTCCAGTATGGAAATTGCGCTAAAAATACAATTTATTAAACTCAATTTGATTATCAACTTATTCAACAAGAGCTTAGTATTGTGTTTCTTTTAGTAGTTTGTACAAATGAATATCTTTAAAAACAAATTATGCACTACAATGTTTTTTAAGGATTTGAATTTTTTTCTCTATAATAAGACCAGGATCCAAAATGGCAGCTAGTTCTTCTGGTTGCGGGTGTTGTCTCGCTAGCGTTGATACTCACGTTCTGCAACATCAGTTTCGTGTGTCTTTCAATGAGAAAGTAAGTTTTACCATTTTACCATATATCAATGGGCCTCGCCAATACGATAGTGATGGATTAGTTATACTTTACCACAGTGGCTTAGCGAGGTCGGGTGTCACCCGGTGCGGCACTTAATGGTGTCACCCCCCAGAGGCGTAGCGACCCTTCCCGGGGACAAATTTTCGATTTGCACCCCCCCCCCCCTTCTCAACTTTTCGATTTGCACCCCCCCCCCCCCCTCAAACTTTCGATTTGCACCCCCCTCAAGTTTTTCTCTATATATTTTGCTATTTTTTGCCTTGGTGCCATCCCCTAAATGGTGTCACACCCCCCCCCCCCCTCACTACGCCTCTGCTTTACCATTTTGGAGGTATCGAACTTTTTTTTCCCGCCTCAGACATGTAATTTACATAGTTTGCCTTGCATGTTCGCTTTAGTCTTACAGTTTTCATCATCGGCTTGTGAGGACTGGTACAGATTTACAATAGTAGTTTGGAGGTATTGAACGTCTCTAATTTCATATGTGTATTCACGGAACCCTACTTCATAGTGTGTTTAACATTTTTAACTTATATAACTCATTAAACTGACGTGTATTTAATTTTGTAACCTATAACTGATTACACGGAAGTGTGTTTAAGATTGTAACCTATAATTGATTACATTGTCATGTATTTAATATTGTCATGTGTTTAAAGACTGACATTTTTCTGCAGTAAACTCCCTGCTGTTTTCAATCGGCATGACGTCAGAAGTTATGTCGTAGCCGCCGTGTACTCTAACCTACGACCCAGTGACTATACCAACCTCTACAACTACCAACGTCCGGGGAGTGACGTCGTACGGGGAAACAGCTACGTAGAATTGACTGATTACGTCACCAGCACCACAGGCAAGTGTTGAGCTCTACCTGGAGTTATTTTAGGCATTTTTCTTTTCAGTGTTTCATCTAGGCATCTCTTGGGGGGGGGGGGGGCGTTTCAATTTTTTATTTGATATTATTTTGTCTCAGACATCAGACATCAGTGATTGGAATCAAGTGGCTTGATCCGCATCACAAGTTGCTTGTTATTTGTTTAAAGTTGCAAATTGTTATCTGTTTTAAATGGCACACTGCCTAATTGTTATTTGGTTCAAGTGGCACATTGCAGAGGCGGAGCTAGGGAAGGGTGGGGCGGCCGCCTAGGGGGCTGACACAAATGAGGCGCCAAAATGGGTAGAAACAGCATGAATAACTATAGCCTGTATAGAAACGAGGGGGGGGGGGCGTAAAATTAATAGTTAGGCGCGGGCGCCGGAATGTGTCGCTACGCCTCTGGTCAATTGTCATTTGATTCTAGAGGCACACAGCCCAATTGTTGCACGTATGAGCTACAGATATAGATTACAACGTTTTACGAAAAGACGCATCCAGTTTTTCTTTTTGATGTTTACCTGTTTTTCTGACCATCCCCCCCCCCCCCCCCCCCCCCCCCCCCAACACACACACCAATTGACTTTCGTAAATAAAGTCGACAAGAAACGGGGAAAAAACTATCTGCGCTTGAAATCTTTTCCTTTGTTTTGTAGTTATTTTAAAAACATGAAGATAGAACTGTTGATGTCCGGTGGCCAGTCAATCCATATATTTTGACCAGGCTGGGTGTTTGTGGGAGGGGGGGGGGGTCTGGGGGTAGACTGTCGCTGTTTTTCAAATGAAAATAATTCGACTGTTTTTAGTAAACCCCCCCCCCCCCCCACCCCCTACCCCTCGAGCGAAACAGAATTTATGTATAAAATTTATGCTTTTACCAGTGTCCGCCCCCACCCCCCACCCCGGAAAACAAAAAGTCTGAAAGAAACACTGGTTGCATCTAAATTCTTCCAATGCAACGTTATCAATAGTTGTATTGTTTAACTCAGCACGTATACAACAATCAGCTCTATCACAGCTAAGTGTTCGTGTGTTGTGTTATGTGTGTGGGGGGGTGGGGGATGGGCGAGGTTACTGTTGTTACTTAGATATACATTAATATAAAAAATATCCATATGGTGGAACGCTTCTTTATATTCTTAAATAATTGAGCGGTGTCAAGTATTCTCTTTGAAATTGTATTACATTGTTATAACAGGTGGGGGGGGGGGGTGGCACGCTTCACTCTCAATATAAGTAGTATATTCTTCTGTTGTACCAAGTTTTCTGTTTGTCTATAAAGCAAAGATTCGTGTGAGCTTATTTTATTTATGCATGGATGTTTCACGTGATGTGTTTGCTATAAATATTGAATCTCTTTCAAGTGTTGTTATACATTGTTTTAAATCAAATATTTTGTTGTTTTGTGACACATACAAAATGACCCGTAGTTATTTTTGTAGGGATCACTAGGTGATGATTACACAAGGATCCCTTAATAGAGTCTTTTTTTAAGTGTCGTTTTAACGCTGCTTCTGTTTTATGTATCTTCGTCATTTTTACTTTCTCGTATATACGAAGTATAGAGAAAGTCTTGTAATCGTGCAAAAAAAATCGAAATTTTTATAAATCTCGACGTTTTACACCTCACTGATACGGAAAAACATAATTTTGCAATCTTGTCCGTATGTCTCTGTGTGTGTGTGTGTGTGTGTCTGTCTGTCTGTCTGTGTGTAAACACGATAACTTGAGTACCGTTACAGCTATGTTGATGAAATTTCATATAAAAGTATTTTATCAAAATCGTAGATCCTGATCAACTTTTTAGCGATTTCCGGTAACCGGAAGTGGTACTTTTTCTACTTTGAATTTTTCAAAAGCCTATAACTTGAGTACTATTCCAGATATATAAATGAATTTCACATGTAAGTAAAAGATTTAATTCTCTACCTTCTGTCGAATTTTGAATAATTTCCAATGACCGAAAGTACTAATTTACGCTATTTCCGATTTCTAAAAAAAAAAACGCATGTAAATTTATAAAGTACTAATACTATTGCGCACCAATTCCTTTTTCTATCTTAAAAAGTTTAAGTATTTAAAATGGATTAAAAATCATATATCCCGAGTTCCCATCCCCTGTTGTTTTATATAAGAATATTCGAGAAAGTTTAGGGGAGATCACTCCCGGTTTATTCATTTAGTTATGCAAAACTATAATTGATCAACTAATTTATGTTAAAAAAAAGTATTAATTTTTTTCCTCCTCCAGGGTTATATGCCTCGCCAATTAAACATGGAAAGAAAGAAACACCTTCGTACTTGGAGATTATCTAAAAGAGGCTGAGAAATCGGTGCTTCAAGCTTCTTATGTTTTTAAACAGATTATCTCCCTTGCTAACAGATGTTGAATAAATGTGTTGTTTTTATGGTTTTGGGTTGTTTAGATTCATCATTACAATATTGAATATCATGTGACTTTCCTTTAGTTAAACTTTAAACGACCACACTATTTATTTTTCTTTTTGTTGCTGCTACAGTTTCTTTGATCTATTGTGCTGCTATTAGCGTGTTTTTTTTTTTCAAATATTTTTTTGTCAATAAACCATTGTTAATGAAACAATGTCTCACGCTTAATAACTTTTTTTAGCATCACTGTATGCACCAGCTGACCCATCCACTAGCCCCATCGCTCCACTCCATATATATATATATATATATATATATATATATATATATATATATATATATATATATATATATATATATGTATATGTATATATATGTATATGTATATGTATATATATGTATATATATATATATATATATATATATATATATATATATATATATATATATATATATATATATATATATAACAATTTTAATAATGCGAAGTTGTAGTTTTATGTAATTCAGGATTTTAAAATTGTAGTAAATAGTTATTAGATTGGAAGGGATATCTAGCACTACTGGCGATTAAAAAAAAATCATGAAACGTTTAATACAATTATTTGTAGGTACCTTCAACCGAGATAACAGAGACCATTTACGTTTGTTAAAGTAAAAAGCCTCGAATAAATTATTTCTGCATTTCTAGATTAGTTAAAGAACAATTTTATACAAGTATAAATATAATTTAAGACAACTTCGCGATCTATGTATATTTTTTATTGAAAGACGTTGGTAGAAAGAGTGAAAAAATGAAACATTGAAACATTTCTAAACAGCTCAAAGTTATATAATAACATTCGACTTTAATAAGTAAGATGACCACTGAGCAGGAACAATGAATTGGAATAATATATTCGACTTGGTCTATAAAAAGCTGACACTGTCTCTATGTGGATATCTTGTTTCTCTCCCTTGTGTGTGTATTGTGTCCCCTGTTTTGACTGCTATTGATATTGCAAGAGGAAAAAAATAAATAAAATAGGACTTTTATACAATCACTAACATTATCAGAAAGTAGTGGATACGCGCCAATATGTGTGGTTAAACTAGGTGTACATAAGTCATATGTACTGAATTAGTCTAGCTGTACTTTAGTTATATGTGTTTCTCATCTAGTCTAAACGTCATATGTGTTGAACTAGTCTATCTTTACTTAAGTCATATGTGTTGAGCTATAGTCTGTGTACTTAAGTCATATGTGCTGATCTATTCTAGGTGTACTTAAGTCATATGTTTTGCTCAACAAGTCTATGTGTACTTACGTTATGGGCGTGTTGACCATAATAAATCAACGATACGGTAATAATGCTATCTATAAAGATAAAAGATAATATCTGAACTCTGTAATTAGATAGATAAAACTGTGCATATTTTATCTTCAGGTTCAATAATCGAGAGCAAAAATAACATTAATTTAAGTCAAGTATTAATACACTAAGATAAAAATATACAGATAAATTGTTTATCATTTGTAGTTGAACTAGATGATGCTAATGAAGCCTGCTATCAGTGATTCGTTTGTTGTCATTTCTCCTCGGACCATATAATAATATGCACAGCATTCAGTAACGTTAGTTGTTGACACTAAGCATTAAACTTTTTCAAATAGTATCCTATCACGTTTACAAATTTATTTCCAGAAATGTATCTAAATTAAATATTTCAACATAGAGCATTAAACATTTTCAAATATTATCTTATCACGTATGCATATTACTATAAATTTTTTAAAAATCTAAAACATATTAGTTAAATTAAGCATTAAATATAATGTGGCCGATCTAATCTAAAAACTGGTTTTACACTGGTTTAAATATAATGTGGCCTATCAAATTTAAAAACTGGTTTTACACTGGTTTAAATATAATGTGGCCGATCAAATTTAAAAACTTGTTTTACACTGGTTTAAATATAATGTGGCCGATCAAATTTAAAAACTGGTTTTACGCTGGTTTAAATATAATGAGGCCAATCAAATTTAAAAACTGGATCTCCATTGGTTTAAATATAATGTGGCCTATCAAATCTAAAAACTGGATCTCCCTTGGTATAGTAATCTGCCAATGAGACGAATGGTGGAGCGGGCAGGCCTTTAGACGTCTCATAGACCGCACATTTGTGCAGGGCACAGGGCGACTCCCTCCAGGCGTAGCGTAGTCCTGTGATCTTCTCCCCCGTGTGGCAGGCGGTGTTGCTGTTGAGTGTGATGGTGGTGCGTGTGTGGGTGCTGATGTTGGTGGCTACCCAGTGTGTGTGAGCACATTGGATCTGTGGACAAATCACGTGCGGTTTGGTAAACTTATTTGGTAGGAGTTTAACAGTATAAACCTGTTACTGGTGTTGTATTTTTATTTTTAGAGTTAACTAAAAGTAGTTTGAAGTTTGTAATTGTGTGATTAAAATGAATTTAAAAAATATTTTAAAAAATGGTTAGTAAAAATGTTAAAGATGTAGGTAAAATTAACACACAAGAATCAAATACAATAAACTCTAATCTATTGAACGTATTTTTTAAAAACTTCTTTACTTCAATCGCAACTCCAAGACCACCAATATTTAACATGTCTTAATACCTACTTCAATGCAAACAATATTTAACATATCAGCATAAACGGCTACATTAAAACAATGCTTAAAATATCAGCATAAATGGCTACCTCAAACCCATCAGAGACGCGAATGTCCAGGCTCCAGGTGTTGCCGTAATCAACGACCAGACCACTGGACGAGATGCTGGACCCAGAGGGCAGCGGGCCCTGGTAGAGGCCACTCTGGTGATAGGCCACTGCCAGCCCACTTAGTGCCAGCCTGTCGCCTATGTCCTTCTTGTAGCGTGGGTGGACTCTAGTAGAGGGACAGTATGTATACTATCAAAATATTCTTAAAGAACTTGGTAAGGAAATTCAAATAAAAATTTTAAAAACCTGTTTTGTTAGCTTAATGAAACAAATAAATTTTAATAAAAACATTACTCGATTTTGTGTAGGAAAGTTTGCATGTTTCAACACTCGTTTCAAATATAATCAGCCTAACTATTTAGTATTACAATCAGCCTAACTGTATTAGTTTTGGTTTGACTTGCAAGTCGAATCATTCACATAAAGGAAGCAATCGTCGAAATAAAAGGAAATTATTGTCAAATATGTAATGTATATTTACTGCATTAATTAATCTAACTTATAGTTCAATAAAGAGCAAATAATAATCTACCAATATGCATTATGTAATCAACAAAATATCAATTGAACAAAATTTGAACTCATTGTAATAACATAACTTTTCCGATTGCTTAAAATTTTTATCATTCTATATCTCTGTAATCCCAAATTTATTTCAGCTCTACTTAAAAACCCAAATTCCACCCTCTCCCCCCCTCCCCCCCCCCCCCCCCCCCCGTCCCCGTCCCCTCAGCCCACCACGTCGAGGAAAAAAATCCCTTGAATCATCATTTAATTACACATTTGCATTTTCAGCTTCAGGTTGGTTTTTTTTTTTTTTTTTTTATATTTTTTTTTTATATTTAGACGTTTTGTATTAGATCTATGTATAAGTAAACCATCTTAATTGAATGAAAGTAGGCTACAAGTAAGAAAGAAATATTACTATTGTAAATCTGTATCAGTCCTCACAAGCCGGTGATGAAAACTGTAATACTAAAGCGAACACACACAACTGGCGCTGTAAATTACATGTCTGAGGCAAAAAAAAAGTGAACTCACGTGCCGTAGGTTGAGTTAAAATCTGGCAAGTCCAAGGCCACGGCCATGAAGACGTTGGCCATGTCAGGGTTGGGGACGTAGCCCCGGTCAGCTGTCTGGTGCCAGCGGATGTCAGTGAAACCTGTGGCAGACCCGGGACTTGGAGAGTTGGGAGCCAGCTGTATCAAGCATTGACATGGGTATAATTTAAGGTGGCAGGACGTTTTTCAAGTAACTATGAGGTCATCCATAAATGACGTCACGATTTGACGCTTTGTTCCTTCCCCCCCCCCCTCCCCCATCCCCTCACACATCGTTACAAAAAGCCAGATTTCCCCTCCCTCTAAAATTACGTCACACCTCAGCTCACAACCCACTTCAAAATTGCAATTGAATTTTTCTTAAAATACGATATTTTTTCAAAATCTTGTCTGAACTCTGTCAACATAGAGTATTTTAATCAATTCATATTACAATTTATTAAAACAGTTTCCTAAAACGCGAAATAACAGCTAAAATTCTTTTTCTAACATTGGTTTTTTATAAGTATGAAGTCACACCATCTGAACCCCCCCCCCCCCTTCCTTTATCGCACACCGTCACAAAATTACGGACCCCCCCCCTCTCCCACCTACGAGTGTGACGTTATTTATGGACGACCCTTATTTTAAAATTGAAGTTTGGATGTTAGTTTGTTTTAAACAAAAATGAAAAATATATTCTAATTTAGTTTTTTATAGATACTATTTTTTTAATATTTAATATTGGAAGTGGCATTTTGGTAAAATAATTTTGAAACTACCTTTTTATATGCAACTAGCGTGCCCATCCAAGCGCGTTGCCGCGTGTATAGCAGAAAGTATGACGTAATATTTTAAGTGGGTTTCATCATTGCGTTACTAATATTCTATTCTTAGACGCGAGACGTTGTTTTCTAAAACTGTGTTATTTAAATGTAAACAATGCCTACGCTTGGATCATATTATCGGGGCATGGGTTTACCTACACTCTCGGATGAAAGCCTTGAGTGCACGTTAATGACTTGTTGCTCTTGTTGCATTTTTACCGCTGAATATAGTAGTATCCCTTACCCGCTATGCAGGACGCCCGATTAACGGATGCCAAGTGCTAACTTAGCCGCTGTAAAACTCTGGGCGCTAAATCGTGTATTAACAATAATCGCACCCTCCCGGGCGCAGCTCATAACAAATTTTAATTATTTTGTACACAGAAACTTTTTCGGGAGTATTTTCATCACTGCCCGAAAGTTTTATGGCACTCGGATGAACGGTGTCGAACTTCATTCGACTTTTATTTTGTATATACCGTATAAAGAGAAAAATCGCACACTTCTGGGGCGCCGCCCTTGCGAAATTAAAAAAAAAAGATTTTTTTTCAGAAACCTTCCCTGGATTGTTCATATCAACTACTCAAAGTTTGACGGCGATCGGATGAAGGTGTCAAACCGCAATTGACTTTTGTTTTTATATACCGTATATAGAGAAAAATATCGCGCCTAGCTGGGGCGCCATCCCTGCGAATTTGAAATTATTTGTTTTCGCAGAAACATCCCCATGACTATTCTCAACAGCTTCCCAAAGTTTCACGGCGATAGGATGAAAGGTATAGTAGTGCATAAAAGACAGACACACAGACACACACATACACACACATACACTGCTTTTTATATACATAGATTCGTTGAATTAGGTATTTCTGTCGATTGCCACTTAATTACATTTTTTTTACTTTCTCGTATATACGAAGTATACAGAAAGTATTGTAATCGTGCACAAAAATAACATGAAATTTTGACAGTTTTCACCGTTTTACTCCTTAGTCCTTCATCACATCCGGAGTATAGAGGACTTATTTTAATCAGGCAAAAATTATAAATACAAATATATAAACATTTTGGCGTTTTATGCGTTATCGAGTCGTAAAAACTGGACTTTGCAATTTTGTCCGTTGTCTGTGTGCATGTGTCTGTCTGTGTGTAAACACGATAAATTGAGTACCGTTACAGCTAGGTTGATGAAATTTCATATATAAGTATTTTATCAAAATCGTAGATCCGTTTCAACTTTTGAGCGATTTCCGATAACCGGAAGTGGTACTTTTTCTACTTTGAATTTTTCAAAAGCCTATAACTTGAGTACTATTTAAGATAGATAAATGAAATTTCACATGTAAGTAAAAGATCTAATTCTCTACCTTCTGTCAAGTTTTGTGTAATTTCCGTTGAATGGCAGTACTAATTTACGCTTTTTCCGATTTCTCAAAAAACGAATGTAAATTAAAATTAATAATATTCCGCACTAGTATGCACGTTTTATTTGGCGTTCACGGGTGTGTAATTCTTTTTTCTACGAGATTTTATTCTATTTTTAAAAAGTTTAAGTATTTAAAATGGATTAAAATTCATGTCTATATCCCGAGTTCCCATCCCCTGTTATTTTTATAAAAGAATATTCGCGAAAGTTTAGATGAGATAGCTCCCGATTTATTTTAAAATGCTACTTAAACAGCATTTGTGTGCTGTGTTTAGTTTACCTGGACAAAGCCAAAAGGAAATGACGCGCTGGTTTGACCGTTGGAGGCTTTGTTGAAGTTAGATCTCCAGTCTTTTATCATGGTTGGGAAAGTGCAGTTGTACTTGACTCTGGCAGTGACTCCAGAATCAGACTCACCTATCAACAAGGTTTCAGGTGTAACAAATTATAATTTTTTATTAGTTTAAAAACATTATTATAAGCTGTCTGTCTAATGAAAACTCTCGAGGGTAATTTAGTCCATTAATGATATCAGACATTCTGACGAACTTACTCCCTCCCCCTTCCCCCCCCCCCCTCCATGGCACATCGTCACAATGTTCACGTCTCACTTCAGCCCCCACTAACCCGAATCACAGTGATATCATGTACAGGGATTTATTTCCTTAATATAATGTAAGTAAGATCAATATAATGGTATATCGTTCAATTTTTCTTACAATTCACAAATGAAGTCCTTAAAATAACGACTAAGATTCAGTTATTAAAAACAATTACATTCACATTTGAAGACAAAATGACATCAACAATAAAATAGCTGACAGTATGAGATGGCGTGGTCTGCATTTGCTGGGAAGATCTATTCTTTATATTGAAGGAAATTAAAGTAGCAAAAACTAAGTACAAAATTAGATATCGACCTTGATACCATATAGCACCATATATGGTCATTCCTAGAAGAGGATGTATCATGGAGTTCCACAAGACGGAGCTGTTTCCTGGACCTTCAAGTCTGTGTCTGTCTTCAGGGGACACGTCCTTTAAATGTCTGGGGACATGTGCATTATATCATAGGTAAGTTACAGGCCCTTTAAATACCTGGGGATGTGTTCATTGTGTCATTATGTTAGAGTAGCGAGGGACATGTTCATTATGTCATAAGTAAATTACAGACCCTTTAAATACCTGGGGGTGTGTTCATTATGTTAAAGTAGCTAGGGACATGGTCATATGGGCTGAGTTAAATTTAGAGCCAAATATATTTGAAATTAAAGACTGGTGAAATCATAGAATCAATAGATACAAGCTACTCATATTAGTTTTATGACTGGCATGATATGTAGGAATGAAAGTTAGAACAATGCCACGAATAAGTATGCTGGATTAAGTTCAATTTAAATACTTCATATTATTGAATTCTTTAAAAGTTGAACACCCTTGTATAGAAGGTGATTTCGTTTAATAGACACAAAAAATTATTTTATTAGTTAAATAGTGAAAATATAATTTGTTTACTCTAAGTAATCCTCTGTGTGTGAGTCACCGTTATTTTCATGTACACCACAATGTGCTAACGCCTGGGGGGAGGACCAAGCTTTGACTGGCGTCCCACCCCAGTCACTGGCCACTAGACCTATGGGGTAGTGCCTTGCTTTGTGGATGGCCTTGCCAAACAGCCAACAAACTGCCGAGAAATACGTCCATGCCGGGTGGCCCACTGAATCTGTAAGTAAAGGATTGGAGTGATAGGTTATGTCCCTAAACTGAATTTGTAAGTAAAGGATTGAATGATGGGTTATGTCCCTTAAATGAATCTGTAAATAAAGGATTGGAATGATGGGTTATGTCCCTTAACTGAATCTGTATGGAAGATATTGTCAAAGCTACTTGTTAACACTTCCTAATAGCTGTTCATTATTTAAGCTTACTGTTTTAGTTAACTTCTTACACATTTTATTTCTATTGATTATTTATTTCAAAATAACCTTTAAAAACAAGAATGTGTGGAGAAGTATAGTGCAGCACTTGAGCAGATAATCTTCTATAAGTTTGGTTCAAATCTGTATTATGTTAATCGGGTTTTTATGTACAACTTGTAGTCAATCTGTAGGCCAATCTATCAGCCTCTAAAGCTCTGATAGGAACATTGAGTATCCCACGCTGTGAGTTCACTGTTATCGATTCCACTCAGCTCTGATTGGTGCCTAGCATGAGTCTACCCAACTCTCGTACCTCATATAATTTAGTGCTTGAAATATGTCAATATAGAAAACATCTGTGTGCCAAACCTGATCAACTCTGCTTCACCTGTCATTAACTCTGTTCCATCAACCATATCAAACTTTAAAATTTAAAAAGAAAACCAACTGTTGTCAGCTTTGGCCCATGCTTGATCAACCCTCGCTAAGTCGTAGAGTGGTGTGAAGGACTCGGTTTTGTGTACGGTCATCAGGCGGATGTTGGGGTAGTTGTGGGCGTCTGCTATCTCTTGAGCTCCGCCTATCATCTGCAGTAGAAACACAGGTGATCATCTACATACAGGAAACAAATATATCCCAAACAACAGAGGTCATCTACATACAGGAAACAAATATAGCCCAAACAACAGAGGTCATCTACATACAGGAAACAAATATATCCCAAACAACAGAGGTCATCTACATACAGGAAACAAATATAGCCCAAACAACAGAGGTCATCTACATACAGGAAACAAATATAGCCCAAACAACAGAGGTCATCTACATACAGGAAACAAATATATCCCAAACAACAGAGGTCATCTACATACAGGAAACAAATATAGCCCAAACAACAGAGGTCATCTACATACAGGAAACAAATATAGCCCAAACAACAGAGGTCATCTACATACAGGAAACAAATATAGCCCAAACAACAGAGGTCATCTACATACAGGAAACAAATATAGCCCAAACAACAGAGGTCATCTACATACAGGAAACAAATATAGCCCAAACAACAGAGGTCATCTACATACAGGAAACAAATATAGCCCAAACAACAGAGGTCATCTACATACAGGAAACAAATATAGCCCAAACAACAGAGGTCATCTACATACAGGAAACAAATATAGCCCAAACAACAGAGGTCATCTACATACAGGAAACAAATATAGCCCAAACAACAGAGGTCATCTACATACAGGAAACAAATATAGCCCAAACAACAGAGGTCATCTACATACAGGAAACAAATATAGCCCAAACAACAGATACACAGTCTCAAAGATTATACTAACAACGTTTTTATATTTAACACTTTATCAGCCCCTTTTACAGCCAGCAACATATTCAACAGTTTCGCCGAGCAATGTTTTATTTGAAAAAAAAAAATATCAGAAAATTACTCAAATCAATCGGCTGGCCAAGTTTTTTTCTATAAACTTTTAATTCCATGCGAATGCAAGATTGCTGAAGTACCGCACATTGTTTATGAAACAATTGAACCACAATTACATAACATTAAAAAATGTAATAAAAGACTTTAAAATCCCTTACCTGTATAACAGTGAAAGCCATGTTAGACTGTCCAGAACAGAGCCATACGTCACCAAAGATGACGTCACTGATGGTGTGAGCCACTCCCCCTGACTCGACTTTGATAGTGACCACCACATTGGGTCCAAAGGCGTCAATGAGGAAGTTCCACTCCCCCACCCCTGCTGCTTGCCCCTGGCGCACTGTTGTTTCATAGTTGTAGGGGTGGGTTGCCGGTACTGTTGTCAACTACATGAGAATACACAGATTAGAGTAAATGTATTATGTTAATTCAATCGATACAAAAACTCCAGTCATATTTGTTTTTTGTTTTGTTCTCCGTGGGATTTTTTTCCATCCTCCTCTAAAGGGTGAACGGTAAAATATTTATTGCATAATGACCAAGTTATTTGACAGGTAAAAAAAATAGGTATTAAGATATTGGAGAATAATAGTTTAATCTTTGAGATCATCTATTAATGAAGTAAATAAACTGGGAGTGATCTCCCCTAAACTTTCTCGAATATTCTTATATAAAATAACAGGGGATGGGAACTCGGGCTATAGACATGATTTTTAATCCATTTTAAATACTTTAAGTTTTAAAAATAGAATAAAATCTCGTAGACAAATTAATTGCACACCAAGTGAACGCCAAATAAAAAAGCGCATAATGGTGCGCAATATTATTAGTACTTTTAAAATTTACATTAGGTTTTTGAGAAATCGGAAGTAGCGTAAATTACTACTTCCAGTCAACGGAAATTACTCAAAATTTAACAGAAGGTAGAGAATTAGATCTTTTACTTACATGTGAAATTTCATTTATCTATCTAAAATAGTACTCAAGTTATAGGCTTTTGAAATATTCAAAGTAGGAAAAGTACCACTTCCGGTTATCGGAAATCGCTCAAAAGTTGATACGGATCTACGATTTCGATAAAATACTTATATATGAAATTTCATCAACGTAGCTGTAACGGTACTCAAGTTATCGTGTTTACACACGGACAGACAGACACACAGACACACAGACAGACACACAGACATACGGACAAGATTGCAAAATTATGTTTTTCCGTATCAGTGAGGTGTAAAACGTCGAGATTTGTAAAAATCTCGATTTTTTTTTTTTGCACGATTACAAGACTTTCTCTATACTTCGTATATACGAGAAAGTAAAAATCACGAAATTTTACTGTAATATAACCTTTTGCACTAGACAACTTTGTTATAAACCTACCTGTAATGTAACCGTCTGTACTAGCCAGCCTTGTTATAAACCTACCTGTAATGTAACCTTTTGTATGGGCCAGCATTGTTATAAACCTACCTGTAATGTAACCTTTTGTATGGGCCAGCATTGTTATAAACCTACCTGTAATGTAACCTTTTGTATGGGCCAGCATTGTTATAAACCTACCTGTAATGTAACATTTTGCACTGGCTAGCTTTGTTATAAACCTAACTGTAATGTAACCTTTTGTACTGACTAGCCTTGTTATAAACCTACCTGTAATGTAACTTTTTGTACTAGCCAGCCTTGTTATAAACCTACCTGTAATGTAACTTTTTGTACTAGCCAGCCTTGTTATAAACCTACCTGTAATGTAACCTTTTGTACTGACTAGCCTTGTTATAAACCTACCTGTAATGTAACTTTTTGTACTAGCCAGCCTTGTTATAAACCTACCTGTAATGTAACTTTTTGTACTAGCCAGCCTTGTTATAAACCTACCTGTAATGTAACTTTTTGTACTAGCCAGCCTTGTTATAAACCTACCTGTAATGTAACTTGTTGTACTAGCCAGCCTTGTTATAAACCTACCTGTAATGTAACTTTTTGTACTAGCCAGCCTTGTTATAAACCTACCTGTAATGTAACTTTTTGTACTAGCCAGCCTTGTTATAAACCTACCTGTAATGTAACTTTTTGTACTAGCCAGCCTTGTTATAAACCTACCTGTAATGTAACTTTTTGTACTAGCCAGCCTTGTTATAAACCTACCTGTAATGTAACTTTTTGTACTAGCCAGCCTTGTTATAAACCTACCTGTAATGTAACTTTTTGTACTAGCCAGCCTTGTTATAAACCTACCTGTAATGTAACTTTTTGTACTAGCCAGCCTTGTTATAAACCTACCTGTAATGTAACTTTTTGTACTAGCCAGCCTTGTTATAAACCTACCTGTAATGTAACTTTTTGTACTAGCCAGCCTTGTTATAAACCTACCTGTAATGTAACTTTTTGTACTAGCCAGCCTTGTTATAAACCTACCTGTAATGTAACTTTTTGTACTAGCCAGCCTTGTTATAAACCTACCTGTAATGTAACTTTTTGTACTAGCCAGCCTTGTTATAAACCTACCTGTAATGTAACCTTTTGTACTGGTCAGCTTTGTTATAAACCTACCTGTAATGTAACCTTTTGTCCTATTGTTGGGGAAAAGCCATAAATGTTTGCCCGCTGTGGAGCTTTCTGTAAAACCATGTGACTTTGGAAATGTTTGGCAAAGTTGAATGTGACAGCGCCTAATCTGGGTTCTTCTTGCCCACGATCATCTGATAAAGTAAAAAAAAAAAATGGCTAAAATTAGTTGTATAGAGTGGAAAAATGGAATATTAATTTTTAATAGATTATTAAAACTTTTAAATATAACGATGTCTCAATGGGGAAAGGGGTGGGGGAGGGGGAGGAGCGTCCATTTGACCGTCACATTCTTAGAGGTTTCCACTTATAGTGACGAAATATGACGAAGAACGGAGTCAGAAAGTATAACATCACACATTTGCATATTTAGATATTAATTTCTTATCAAAGTAAATTTTCTTTTTTTTTTTTGGAAAGTTCCTTTTTTTTTTAAATTGTTATAAAATTGATCAGTGGGCGTATAGGAATGGGGTGGGGGGTGGGGGGGCACACTGGTTTAATGGGAGGATGTTTCGTGTGGACGTCCACACAATCAACGCCCACCGAGCACATCATCGCCAACAGCGGTAACGTAACTCAAGACAACTTTCATTGTAAGGGTCCGTAACCCGTGTAATGTCATTGCGTAAATTGTAAAATATGGGGAAAAAAAAACAGCAGAAAAATCTTCCCTCTTCCCTCCCCACCTGCCGTGTGATATCCTGTGAACTTTTCTTTTTTTTTACTAATTATCTAAATTAGTAGACTAGTAAAGATCTTGTCCAGATAAATCCTGTCACTATTTATGCAAAAAGTGCACGGGTGGAAAGTTAAGCCCCGCCACTTGTGACCTGTTCTGATGTCTAGCCATTAGAATATTTAAACGCTCGCCATAAAAACTACTATCCGCCTCTATGTTTAGGGTCAGGATTATGGTTTGGGTTAGTGTTAAGGTCATGTTCAGGGTTGGGTTATGATTAAAAACTAAGAGTGCAAGTTTCATATCCTATTTTTATTTTTTTTTTAATGGCGGGGGTTAATTTTTTGGCGGGGTTTATCTGAGCAAGTTCGTTATCCTTTGTAAATTTAATTAATTTAATTTAACTGGATAATGTAGATCTAGAGATTAAAAAACGATGACAATAGAAAATTAAAAACTTACTGCTTCTGTCTGATTCGGCCGACATTTGAAAAACATTTTTTGCACTCGCTTTCCATTCCAAGCAAGTTAACAGCAAAATGATACAAGCAAAATAGAATTGCATAGTTAAAAGAATAATAGAAAGTTGTAAACTATTTTTTAAATTTTAGTTGGTTTATCCATACTGTTCAATGAACTCAATAAACTAATATAAAATTTAGTAGGCCGATTTTTAAAATACAATTTTGGTCTACTTTGTTGTAGCAAATCATAAATATAAATATCACATGATCTAATCACATGACCACCTAGCATTCGATAGTGTAAGTGTAACGATAGGACCAAAACACTCGACTAGATCATTTGATAACAGATTAGATTCTGATATGATATAGATCTAGATTTAGATCTAGTATAAGTTAGATCGCCCTAACTACACTGACCAGACATGGACTAGATCTAGACTACATATTAGATAAATTAAGTAATTTACTGATGGGGATTTACTCAAATAATCACCACACCGTCGCGGGTCATGACCGTCCAATCGTCCATGTCTAATGTCTATCTAATTCTATAGTGACAGTCTATGAAATCATAGTATGAATAAATAATAATTTTAAATAAATAACAATAAATCTGTGGCTGACTGTGACTATGGACACTATGGTCAAGTTTACTACCGTCCAGTGTTTCTTCCAGACTTTTTTTCATCCGGGGGGGGGGGGGCACTTGAAATCTTCGGGGGGGGGGGGGGGGGGGCCGGTAAACTTTCTTCGGGGGGGTCGGACACTGTTAAAAGTATATATTTTCTATATAAATTTCGTTCGGGGGGGGGGGGGGGGGGGGCGGTAAAAAATTTTTGGGGGGGCTATGCCCCCCCGAAGAGATGCCTGGAAGAAACTCTGCTACCGTCTAGTCTAGAGCAAGATTAATAACAATATTATTAACATCACATCTATTCAATTCTATTCTAGCTCTAGACTAGAATCCTTATATTTTGTGACACTCAAGTTCTCAACTATTCTACTAGCTAGTTCTCTAGTCAAGTTATAAACAATGAATAGGACCTATTAGGTATAAAATATAATATCAATATAGATCTAGTTAGGATGGCCTTTTTATTAAATCTAATATTATAAGCCTATGCTTAACTGCACCACAGTCAGTGGCGTAGCGAGGTCGGGTGTCACCCGGTGCGGCACTTAATGATGGTACCCCAAGAGGCGTAGCTAAACTTCCCGGGGACAAAATTTTGATTTGCACCCCGCCCCCCCCCCCCCCCCCATCAAATTTTGATTTACACACCCCCTCAAACTTTCAATTTGCACCCCCCCCCCCCTCTCAAACTTTTGATTTTGCACCTCTTAAAAGACTATTTAACACTTTAATTAATCACTTAATTATAGTGGAATTATCATTTTTCTCTATATATTTTGCTATTTTTTGTCTTGGTGGCACTTCCCCTAAATGGTGTCACCTGGTGCGGTTTGCACCCCGCCCCCTGCCTCGCTATGCCTCTGACCACAGTTCACCAGTCTTACACTACAGTTCACTACACTCGCTATCTATATATATAATTCTCTTCTGGGAGCCGTTAGAAAACAAGCTGCAAGCGCCTCCTTGCAGTCCCCTCTCTTTCTCTCTATCACTACCACCCCCACCCCACCCCCACATTGTCTGGTGAGCTGTGGTCACGCTGTTTACATTTTACAATCATAGAGACGGGTTTGGTGATGGCTATTAGGGGCAGATAATTTAGTTTGAAATGATTTTAAATTTAGAGGAGGTAACTAAGAGGAGGCTGCTTTCACGTGGGGGGGGGGGGGGGGGGGTTAGTGTTTTTAAGCAAATATTTTCAGTGGCAGCATTGGTACTGTCAAATTCACAAATTATAAATTACTGAAAAGTAGAAAAAAAAAAACAACTAAATAGCGGCGTATGATACGCAGCGGGTCGGCTCGTATTATATATAGGATAATAGGGCCTATATATATATATATATATATATATATATATATATATATATATATATATATATATATATATATATATTTATTTATTTATTTATTTATTTATTTATTAATTTTTTATACTCTTCTCTACACTCAACTATAAAAATTGAATATTAGGTAATTTTTGTAAATCTCTATTCTGTAAGTCCTCACTTAGCTAGAGTATGGTTTAATCACAGAGCCAATGAAATGCTGAAATTTGCAGTGGTTATCTGGACATGGCTGAGTTTAGCCTCAGCTTTGGATGTCTTACAGATGTCAATCGGGAGAAAAAGTAAGTATTTTTTTTATATAGAAGTGTATTCGTTTTTTTGTTAAACTGTTGAAGGCATCATTTTTTTTTATACCATAACTTCGACTTGTAAACGCAAGACTAAACTTTTGTTGCTGTTGTTTTATAGGGAAAATGTTAAATTAATGAAATTTTTTTCTAAAGACAGCTTGCCTTATAATGCCATTGTTTGATGTACAGGTCTAGAGACTAAGCATGCATTGGTTGGTTCAGCTTCTGTGTTTTCATTGGCTAAACACTTCCAGAGTCATATGGTTCTCCAACAGGCCCCACAACAAGCCAGTATCTATGGGTTCGCACCGGTGTCTAACATAGGGGATCTGGTGACAGCTATGGTAGGTAGGCTACTGAGGTTTACAGTACACTTTACACAGCTATGGTAGGTAGGCTACTGAGGTTTACAGTACACTTTACACAGCTATGGTAGGTAGGCTACTGAGGTTTGTTCACTCTGTACACTTTACACAGCTATGGTAGGTAGGCTACTGAGGTTTACAGTACACTTTACACAGCTATGGTAGGTAGGCTACTGAGGTTTGATCACTCTGTACACTTTACACAGCTAGGGTAGGTAGGCTACTGAGGTTTACAGTACACTTTACACAGCTATGGTAGGTAGGCTACTGAGGTTTGATCACTCTGTACACTTAACTTAAAGCAATAAACCCAAGTTTTATTTGTGCTATATTCTACCCCAAGTAATGTTCTTATCTTAAAGAACATTACTTTTTGTTTCATAACTATTAACACTGTTTTTAATACATTTTGAATGAATTTTAAAAATAAAATTAGTAACCTTTCATCCAATCTGTTCTAAAATATCACATAAAATAGACATAAAACATGGTTTGTAAGATAAGTCTATCAAATTATTATTACTCACTTGTATTTTGTTTTATCTAACCACTGAAAATCCTAAATATAATATGATTTGAATTATTTAACAGGTAACTTATGGAGGTTCTGTGATGAATTCGTCTGGCACTGTGACTGAAGGGTCAGACACAGCTGTTTGGACTGTGACATTTGGTCCTATCAAGACCAATGAATCAACCACAGTAAAAGTCTCTTTACAGAATGTTTCTCTGGTCTTGGAAGATGTGTTGTTTGGGGATGTTTGGATCTGTTCTGGTCAGTCCAACATGCAGTTTATGGTCCAACAGGTAAGTTGTGTTTGGATCTGTTGTGGTCAGTCCAACATGCAGTTTATGGTCCAGCAGGTAAGTTGTGTTGGGATCTGTTGTGGTCAGTCCAACATGCAGTTTATGGTCCAGCAGGTAAGTTGTGTTGGGATCTGTTCTGGTCAGTCAGTTCAACATGCAGTTTATGGTCCAACAGGTAAGTTGTGTTTAGATCTGTTCTGGTCAGTCCAACATGCAGTTTATGGTCCAGCAGGTAAGTTGTGTTTGGATCTGTTCTGGTCAGTGCAACATGCAGTTTATGGTCCAGCAGGTAAGTTGTGTTTGGATCTGTTCTGGGCAGTCCAGCAGGTAAGTTGTGTATTATTCTAAATAGCTCGCACACTTTCTTATAACAATTTTTTTTTATAAATGGGGCTATGTTGAAGGTGCTAATAATGGCAACATAATTAAATCAGTAATAAAAAACCCTGTGACTTTGCTAACAATACTGATAAGGCAATGAGATGGTAACACTCATCAATATTCATAACATAACTTCCATAAACACCTTCAATTTCCAATTTTGGTTTACCAGCTTGTGGTTTGATTTATTTTACAGGGTGACTTTACAATAATGGTAACGAGAAACATAATTCCTTACATCATATGTTCGATACTATGTATGTATTTCAGTGGTACTTTAGAGCTTTAGTTAAAGAAAGTCTATCTTTATAGGCCTATCTACAAATAATTTTTTTTGGTTTCAGATGTTTGGTGGAGAAGAAGAAATAGCCAACGCGCACAAATATCCCAATGTTCGTTTTATGAATGTGGTCAGACAGTCTTCATCAAAGCCATTAAATGATTTAATTGGTATTGACCAGAGCTGGGCGTCACCTTTAAATAGTAGGTTTTATTTTTTTTAGATATTTAAGCAGTTGTTTGTGTAAATTTAGGTAACGCTGTGTGGAAACTTTTGTTTTTTATATTTGTCTTTGATTTTAGCCGTTAGCCAAATGGATAGTCAAAAACAAAGATTTTAGTATTTCATGGTTATTTACTTTTTATTTTTAATAAATGTTTATCTCCCCTCATTCTTTTAAGATTTTAAGTTATGTAGGTCTATTGATTAGGTATTATGTACAAAATTTTTTTTTAAAAAGCAGTTTGACTAAAGTTGATGGAAACAATTTCCTCTCAAAGAGAACAAAAAAGAACATTGTGCCATAAAAAATGTGATATTTTTTTTTACAGCCAGTATAGCCCATTTCTCAGCAGTCTGCTGGCTGTACGGTAAGGCTTTGAGTGAAGAACTTGGCTACCCTATTGGTCTGGTTGGGACCAACTATGGCGGAACACCAGTGGAGGCCTGGTCTTCACCTCAAGCCCTGCAAAAGTGTGGAGTCCCCAAGGTAGAAACAAGGTACGTCAAAGGCTAAACAAAAGTGTGGAGTCCCCAAGGTAGAAACAAGGTACGTCAAAGGCTAAACAAAAGTGTGGAGTCCCCAAGGTAGAAACAAGGTACGTCAAAGGCTAAACAAAAGTGTGGAGTCCCCAAGGTAGAAACAAGGTACGTCAAAGGCTATACAAAAGTGTGGAGTGCCCAAGATAGAAACAAGGTACATCAAAGGCTAAACAAAAGTGTGGAGTCCCCAAGGTAGAAACAAGGTACGTCAAAGGCTAAACAAAAGTGTGGAGTCCCCAAGGTAGAAACAAGGTACGTCAAAGGCTAAACAAAAGTGTGGAGTCCCCAAGGTAGAAACAAGGTACGTCAAAGGCTAAACAAAAGTGTGGAGTCCCCAAGGTAGATACTAGGTACGTCAAAGTAAACATGTGAGAAAAAGCGCAAACCTACCTATAGTTAGCAATAGTTTACCTTCTATCATCTCTCGTTATCTTTTCACCCATAACTTTCATTAATTTTATTTTATTACAATTTAAATTAAAATCCATCTGTTCTTTTAGTGACGAATTATTCCATTTGTAATAACAGAAACTATGGTGAGGAAGTGAATAAACTGCTGATAAATGGACCTCAGAACAACTCTGAGCTATGGAACTCTATGATCTACCCTATGCTGGGAATGACAATCTATGGCGCCATATGGTACCAAGGTAGTAGAAACTATTTTTAAAGTTTTATCTATTATGTGGCTTGAATCCTTATCATAATTCCTTCTTCTGACACCCATAAAATTTTCTCTCTTATAGTTTTGTGTTAACTATTAAAATAAAAAAGCTGTATTTGAGTTTTCGTTGCGTTTTAATTGTATAAGTTTACTACAGGTGAAGGTGATGCTCAAGATCCAGTGATGTTGAACCGTTACAACTGCACATTCCCTGCCATGATTGATGACTGGAGGTTGAGTTTTAACAAGGCGTCCAGTGGCCAGTCAGACATCTTGTTTCCTTTTGGCTTTGTCCAGGTACATCTGAGTCAGTCAACAAATCCAGTGGTTGCTTGTGTGGATTATTTGCTTTTATAGTAGAATTTAGTGTTTTGTTTATAATATTAGGTACTATTTATTTTAAGAGAGTTCAGTCAATAAGCCAATGAGATTACATCTTAGCTTAAAAGGAACCAGGAACTCGTTAAAAAACATTCATTAAAGAATAATATTGTTTAAAATTCCTGGATTCAAAGAGTTAAGTATGAAAGAGATAAATTAAACTTCCTTACGAGAAAGATAAATTTCTTTTTTTTCCATAAATGGGATTATTCTGGGGGGAATGAATTTACAGTTAAATAAAAAACACAAGTATATTTATATTGCATAAATTAATAATATCAAGTAGTTTTTTATTAATTAATATTATAAATATTCTTTGCATTTGTCATCTTGGTTACTCTTTCAATATGTGATATATCACTTCAGACATTGCTAAAAATTCAACTTCCATAAAATGTTTAATTCATGATGTTTTACTGCAGCTGTCCACTAGTGGCCCTAACAATGAGGACGCAACTTATGTGGACATTCGCTGGCACCAGACGGCTGACTTTGGTACAGTCCCTAACAAACGTCTGCAACGAGTCTTCATGGCTGTGGCACTGGACCTGCCAGATTTTGATGCACCTTCTGGACCGTAAGAATTGCTTTCACATTTCATGCTGATGCAATCCTCACATGAAAAAAATCATCTTTAACTCTGTGCTACAGATTATCCCAGCTTTGGATAATATTTTCTCTATTTACTTTTACTCTGTTAATTTAAAATGTATTTATCTGCGTTTTTTTTTTAGTTTTGTTAATTCTTGCCTCACGTTAGGGAAAGTAAAGGCAGCTGGGCATAGTGCTGACCACACTATCCCTTCATATGCCAAGGTCACGAAAACAGGCAAATTCTACTTCACTTGCCTCATGGACCATCAGGTTTCAAAAGTTAACTTAATTTCACTTAAATTGCAGTTTCCTGATTTAGTTCATTTCTTTATTTAAAAAAAAGATTATGAGGAACCCCATTCAACATTCCCTTTAAAATGATTATGTCTGCTTGCTAAATAATGTACAAAAACATACATTTATTCTAATATTATTGTAATCCATGAGTTTTGTAAAAGAATGGCTTCTTACATTTTCTGTGATTGAAAAGAAGTACTAAAAGTCTATTTATTGTTGATAATTTTTAAAATGTTCAACAATGTTATTTTGTTTACATTTGTATCCATGGAAGAATTTGTTTTAGCCAGTGTTCACACAAGACACAAGAAACAAGTTGGGAACCGGCTGTTCCTCAGTGGTCTGGGCGTGGCCTACAACAGACCTGTGCTGTTTCAAGGGCCATTTCCTGTCTCTGGTACCCTCTCCAGTAATAACAGTCTGGTGCTGGACTATGGCGACACCTGGACACTGGACATTAGGAACACTGAAGGTTTTGAGGTGAGCACCAGGTTTTTTTGGCTCTACAGTAAATAATTCACTGAACTCGAGACCTTAGACAAACATTTTTTGCTATGTAATTCTCCTTGGATGTAGGATGTCCCTGAGTTCACTCAGCTCTTATGGGTACCTGACTCATGTTAGGGAAAGTGTAGGTGGTTGGGCTTAGAACTGACCACACTATCCCTTCACATGCCAAGACCAAATGTCACAAAAACAGATGAACTCTGCTTACCTCCCCTCCCCCTGCTTACCTCCCCTACTGACGGCCGGGTCCAAAGGTTATCTTTATATAGAGAAAAAGTCTTTTTGACTTTTTAATGGAACGCTTAGGACATAAAAAAGGTTAAGCCCAATTAATTAAGAGGTGTCTTATTTTAGCAATACTCAAGTGTTGTTTTTTAAATAAACGTAGATATACTTATGAAATAAAAATGTGTTGACATAGTTTTAAGCAACTTAAAAATATTGTAGCACTAAATAAGATCCTGATAACCATCTGTTCCATTGAATATTTTGTCTGCAGCTGTTGTGTACGGCCGCCCTGCCCTACAAGACAACCTGGTGGGTGCCAACAAGTATCCTCAGGTACAGCAAGACCAGGCTGGAGCTGCTGACATCTGTGTGCGGTCAGGGTCAGCTGGTGCGGGGCCTGCGCTACGCCTGGCGCACAACACCCTGCTCACTAGAGACCTGCGCTGTCTATTCACTTGTCAATCAACTGCCGGCCCCGCCCTTCACAGCTTTGGCTGATTATTTGGATGGACAACCCGTCTTTCATTTTTAATACAGTTTTAAAGTGTGATCTGTTTAATAGAGTGATCTGTTTAATAGTGTGATAGTGTGTATCTACTTCAAGATTACATTCCTTAAGGTTTTTTTGTGACTTCAAGATTACATTCCATAAGATTTTGTTGTGACTTCTATGCACTGAAATAGAAAACATGAGATACGTTTATAACAATTGGGTGGAATTTAAAGGTTTACAAATTATTTTATTAAAGTTTATTCCTCATACGGAGGCTTGTATTTAAATTAAATAATTTAATTATGCTTAAAAATAATTTATGGGTGTCATGTTTGATGTGGTTTAATCACATATGGTATTTTTATAATGAGACTTGTATTCAAATAACAGAATTCAACAGTCTCAGATAAGAAGGTATTTTTTATTTTACTTGTATACTTTTATAATATATATATATAACTTTTGTATTATTTTTTATATTTTTATAAAATGTTTTTTCCATGTTAAACTTTAAATAATATTTAACTGTGTTAATTCTCTACTGCTGCCAAACTTTCCATACTGTTATACAACTTTCTATTGGACTATATCTCATATTTACACTCGAGGGGGTTTCAACGGTATTTGTTACAAAAACTTTAGTCTTGTTTCCTGTCTATTGTTTGTATAATAATTCACAAGTCACAAACATGACATTGGTAAAAAAACAGAACTTAAAACTACAAGGTTTTAATACCCAAGATCATTTTTACAATATCAAATTTAATGTTTATTAAAGTTTATATTTAAAACTAAACTCGTTTTGTTTGAATGTTTTATATATATGTTATTGAATATTTACAGTTTATACTTTAATTAAGCTGCTAAAAATATATTGTTGGCATATGGTTTAATTTTTATGTAAAACAATTCAAGAATTATCAGTTATTTTATCTATTTTGTCATATGAGTTTTTGAATGTTCAAAATCCAAGAATGGTCAATAATTGTTTACAACCTGTTTACATTCTAAAATGTTGAATAATTTTGGTTTCAAAATTTGTATTGTTGGCAGTCTTGGAAAATGATCCATGTTATTGTTTTGATATATTGTTTTACAAATAAGTTGACATGAACTCAGTTGTGATTGGGATGATGACTGCCTATAGTTTGCTATCTGAAACATTTAAGTGCATCATGCAGCACTATCAAATACTCCTTAAAAGTGTTGGTTTAATTTTTAAAATCATGTTATTTTTATTTTCTAAAAAAATAAAAAACTTGTTTAAACTTGAGTTAAAATATTTAAAAGACATACAAATTGACTGGTGAATTATCTTTGTAAAAAGTTCTGTTTGTCCTAAGTGTATTTGCCTTGTTAGTTTGTCAGATTATGTTGTTTGTTTATAAAAATCGATCGTAGTTTTTTTTTAAATACTCTAAACACTTAAAATAGGTAATTGTAGGTAAAAAAAAGTTATCAGGTATGAAAATGATTTCGAGACTTTTTTTTTAAAACGTGTTTAAACCTAGATGTAGATTGCGTGAGATTCAAAGGGACGTAATTTATATTATCATGTATTGTCATGGTTACTTCCCTTTGATTGCTTTCTTAAAAACAACTTTTTATTACAAGAGTATTGGGAAAGGTTAACAGTCTACAGATTTTTAGAAGCATTGTTTCATGCGAAAAAATTAAATTAGTTTTTCCCACTTTCTGCTTGGTAATTTTCCAGATCAGGACTTTGTTTGAAAGGGGGGGGGGGTAGTTGAAAGATGCGTTATGATTTGCACATACCTTGACTAAGAGATTATAATAATATATGACTTAGGCCTAGTACTACTAGGATTCAGGATTTATGTTTTCTTGGCTTGAGTCACGTAGAACTTAAATCCTCGTCGCTTTAAATTGAAAAACTGCGGTACGGCTACTCCCCCTGAACTTTATTGTGCGGTAAATCAAGCTGACAAGAATAAAGCGAACAGTCTCAACATTTTGACTTGAGCGTGTTTGCTGTTTGTTTACACTAGGGTTAGAGAGACTAGGCTGGTCAAATTAGGATGGATCAGTGAGAATAAGTTTCTCTTCCACTGAGTGTGAGACTCACAATGGGGTCAAGGTGAGATAGACAGGGTCAAGGTGATACAAACAGGGTCAAGGTGAGATAGACATGGTTTTAAAGCGAGACAGGTACGGTGTCAATGTAAGACAGATATGGGGGTCAAAATACGACAGATAGGGTTAAGGTGAGACAAGAAGGGTCAAGGTGAGACAAACAAGGTCAAGGTGACATATATGGTCAGAGTTTCTTCCAGGCATCTCTTCGCCCCCCCCCCCCGATAAAATTTTACCGCCCCCCCCCCTTCCGAACGAAATGAATTTTATTTATATATATAAAATATATACTTTTAACAGTGTCCGCCACCCCCCCCCCCCCCCCCCCCCCCCGAAGAAAGTCTACCGCCCCCCCCCCCTGAAAATTTCAAGTGCGTATCCCGGAGAAAAAAGTCTGAAAGAAACACTGGATATGGTGTCAAGTTGAGACAAACAGGGTCAAGTTGAGAAAAACACTGAGCTATATAGGAATATTCATCAGAGCCATCTAAATTGTTCAATAATGCGACCAACAAAACATTTGAACAATGAACTATCAGGGCTTGAGTTTGAGATCATTGGCCCAACTATTAAAATCGGAGCTCTAACCTTTACTATTTTTCTTTTGGCTTAACTCAACCCACATTATAAACGTATGCTTCGATTTAGCAAGCAGCTCAAGGGTAGGTACTAATTTCAGTGGGCTGGGGGGAGGGGGTGCATGAGTTTCTCTGCAGACCTCTCATACGTACGCCATTACATATCGGACAACGGCGAGCCATGGTTTGTTAACTTGGCAGCTTATGTTATCTTGTTTTGGTTAATCAACTTTTGTTAGACAACAAAACAGTAGGTTTTTAATATATAAAAAAAATATATAGGCTACAATAACCATTGCCCGCCGTTGTTTCGGTAGTTTCAAGCCCCCCTCCCCCCCCCCGGAGATTGCAAGTGGCCTACCATTCACCCCTCCCCCCCCCCACCCCCGCACACAGAAAAAAAATGTATGAAAAAATATAAACTTTAACCGGAATAACATTTTTGATTTAATTAAAAGAATCAAATTAGTAGCAAACATGTATTGTTGCCAAACTTTACACCCCCCCCCCCCCTCCCCTCAATCCCCTCCCACCCCCTCTCCCAGTAGCCTGCTATAAGGAATTTTATATTTTTTACTCGACAAAAATGGCAGTTATTTTCCAACTCATTTACTTAAGACCCCCACACTCGTCTCTAGCGCCAGACTTACATTATGCACATTCCGAACATTCTAGAATTCTCTACGAGCTTCAACATTTACCCTACGGGTGTTTCGTAGCCTCTTATTTTTCAACTTTCTGGCTTACCCCTAAAGCCACAATGGAGGGTCTACTATGAATAGGTTAAAAAGTAGTTATGAGGATAAAGATGCCATGATCGAGAAAATGTCACAGCGAAGGGGAACAGGGGTAAGAATAAAAGAAAAGGCAATATTCGTCTGGGTCCGCGGCTAGGGCTTATTTGGTGAGGCATTACGACAAATGAGGTTTTCGCTTGGGAGATTTGCGATCAAACAAGCCGGCGCATTCTTGGGAGGGCGAAGCTTCAGAAATTACATACGGTAATATAGACAATCGGGACTCCAGAAAATGAAGAGCGGGCTAGTTAAATGGTTCGTTGTTTGAGGCGAGGCCGTAGTGTGGACTTGGTGGCGGGGTATGGTAGATGCAATCACTTTTTAGTTTTGTTGGCTAAATTTTTTTTTTGGCAATTTAAAAAAAAAAATAACGATAAATCTCTAAGCTAAAATAAAGAAAGAATTAGACACTTTTTTGTATTAAAATAATTGCCTTTATATTTTTGTCTTAAAACAATTTAATCCCATGTTTGTATTTACTCACAAGAATTTCCATGTACGCAATAGGCATACACAAAAATAATATTTTAAAAGATACATTTTTTTTTTAATGTTAATATTCACCATTATCATGCTTAAATTCAGTAGCAATGCTATTATATGAACGCACTGTAAACACATTGCTCAAAACATCCTCCTTCCCCGACCCCCGACCCCTTTCCACAAAAGTTCAGCTAATTAAGGGGAAGCCACCTCTGTGTCCCAATGACGTCACTTGCCTAGGTTGTTCAATAGTTACCCAGCATAAATACAACGTTAATGAGTGGCCGAGTGGACAAACGTGCACTTTGTGAGGGGGTTATTGGGTAAATGTCGGGACAGGGTGCAGGGGTGCATGTCATAAGGTCACGTGATGCTGGTGCGGACTGGGGGGGGATGGATGGTGTACAGGTCATTAGGGGGGGGGGGTCATGTACAGGTCATTAGGGAGGGGAGATCATGTACAGGTCATTAGGGAGGGGAGATGGTGTACAGGTCATTAGGGAGGGGAGATGGTGTACAGGTCATTAGGGAGGGGGAGATGGTGTACAGGTCATTAGGGCGGGGGGGGGGTTCATGTACAGGTCATTAGGGAGGGGAGATCATGTACAGGTCATTAGGGAGGGTGGGTCATTATGGAGGGGGGTCATGTACAGGTAATTAGGGAGGGAGGTCATGTATAGGTGATTAGGGAGGAGGGGTCATGTACAGGTCATTAGGGAGGGGAGATGGTGTACAAGTCATTAGGGAGAGGGGGGGGGGGGTCATGTACATGTCATTAGGGAGGGGAGATGGTGTACAGGTCGTTTGGGAGGGGAGGTGGTGTACAGGTCATTAAGGAGGGGAGATTATGTACAGGTCATTAAGGAGGGGAGATTATGTACAGGTCATTAGGGAGGGGAGATGGTGTACAGGTCATTAGGGGGGGGATCATGTACATGTTATTAAGGAGGGGAGATGGTGTACAGGTCATTAGGGAGGGGAGTTCATGTACAGGTCATTAGGGAGGGGAGATGGTGTACAGGTCATTTGGGAGGGGAGTTCATGTACAGGTCATTAGTGAGTGGAGATGGTGTACAGGTCATTAGGGAGGGGGTGGGAATCTTGAACAGGTCATATTTAGGTAATGTTTTTCACCCCTTTGTGTATATTTCATGTTTTAATCAACTTGAAGGAGCTACTATGGCTGGTGTGTTATTATCATTGTAATTATTATTATCATTATTCGTATAATTGTCATAATGCATATTATTTTTATTATTCATATTATTCTTAATATTCATATTATTATTATCATTGTTGTTAATTTTATTTTTGAAGCTACACAAAAGTATATGCTTTTCACTCCACAATGATGAACTCCATGAATAATCAGAATTGTTCAATTTCCACAGCTAGCTCTAATATCACGATTTGGTGTTTTGCTCAGTTGAAAAATAAACTGAGGAAGTCATCAAAGAAACAGAGGGCATATTTACAAAGAAACAGAGGGCAAATTTAACCATTACCAAAACCGGATGTCGTTATCCTCATTAGCCCAGTGATGTGTCATATTTTCGTGTCTCCATTTCAAAACGAGCAGTCCAAAACTCGCCGCCCACCCTTTTCATTCATCGAAAAATTGTCCGTCAATATTGACGAACGTTTAGCGGGTATCCCCGTCGGCTCAGTCCCGTCACGACACCACGTGGTGCGGTGTCGTCGGCTGTTGATACGGCAGACAGGCGCTCCGCTCGCGTGGGTTTAGTCCGGGTACCTTCTGTTGGGAGGGATCATCCGGGTATGGATGAAAGACGGACAAATTGGCGGCGATTGTGGAAATCAAAAAGTTAGAATTTGTTGCTAGG